TAAGAAAAAAAACATAAATATTATAATATTATAAATTAATAATATAAAATTAAAATATAAATCAGATATATGAATTAAATATGTTTTTTTTATATTTAATATTTAATTATCTCTACACAAATATAAATAAAATATCTATTCAAATAGGTTAGATATTCACAAATATTAGACATACCCGTTATCGATGCACAACCTCTTTCATGCTTTGTTGGGCTTTGGCTATTGTTGCCGTAAAGTGGTGAATTATTGCTCAAGTCCGGTAATGCAGTGGGGACAATTGCCTGACCAGACATTGTTATACAGAAAAGAGGTGGTGGATTATATTCAAGTCCAATATTAATTCAGTGACGGAACCAGTTATTGCTTTAGGGAAACAAAAATTATTGGATGGAGGAATAATTTTTAGTACTCTATTAAAGAACTTATCTAATATTTAATAATTTAAATTATGTAATTTAATATAATTTATATAACATTTTTTGTATAGTTAAATTAAAAAATGTTAAAAATCTTGTGAATTTTAAATTTAAATTTTTTTAAATTGTACAATATAATACAATAATTTTTGAATCACTTTCTGGTTAAAAAATCTTTATGCTAGAATTTCCTTCAATTAAACAAGGCATGAAAGTCTAAAAAGCTGTACCCACTGACATATTTTCTCACTTTGTTTCCTTTCACTGCTTTCCTAGTTCTTTCTCCACTCGGAAGGTTCAAACCTAAAAAGCTGTTCCCACTAACAATGTTTCCCACTTGTCTCCTTTCACTGCCTTCCTTCTGCCTTCCTAGTTCTTTCTCCATCAAATACACCTCTTGTCCTGTCGTTGTTCTTGCTGTTGCAATAAAAAGGTTTCGAATTCATACGTGGGAGCTATTTCCTTACATGATAAGCATTCTTAAAATTCTCTTTCAAGTGAATTGAAAATTGAAACTAATTGAACCCAAATGGAGAACAATTGATTGTAATTCAGTTCAACCTGCCTAGCTTATATAGTGTATTAATTGCACACGCTGTCACACTTATGATTGGTTATTCATGTGTTGAAGTTTCGAGACGTACCCTTGCAGGAGACAATCTTCAGCTTCCTCCAACATCCGGAGCATTGAAGCCGAGAGGAAAGACTTAGGAAGAACCCTCTTCGAACACCTTGCAGACGTGGATGGTGATGAAATCAGGTCAAAGCTCACTGTCGAGCACAGCTAGCATGTGTGAACTTATAATGATATGGTCAAAGGAATCGAACTTATAATGAAAATAAACTTCACTCACATATGTAATTATGGCTATAAATTTATGTTACTATAGCGACGGGACGTCTTTTGGGTCTTGGTCAGAGTTCCACGCCGTCTAAATTAAGTAATTAATATGTCGATATTAGTGCACCAAACCTTGAAGCTCAATTAATTTTTTTAACAACTATAATCTTTTAAGAACGGAGGAGAAGAATAGGACCAAAAATCTTTAAATTTTAATTGAACAAGTGAGAAATAGTATTACTTTCACCCATCGTCTAAAGTTTTAATTACGTTTAAACGGTTATAATTTTAATTGATAGATACCATTTTTTTCTCTATCCCAAATTATAACCGTTTAAAAATTATATATATATATATATATGTTGTTATAAGTGATAGTCAGTCTAGACACCTTGTCCAGGTTGTGGAGCGTTGGGCTGATCCATTCGGAGCAACAGCTAGGCCTGGTTCTAACAAAAAGGCCAAAGTTCTCTTCCAAGCTTTGGTGGGCTTAGCTATTGTAGCCGTGAACAATTGATTCTAAAAGCCCATAGAATTTCTTGCTTATGTTAATATGTTCAATTATTATCGTATTATATTATCATGGTGAATGAGAATTTTGTTTAATAATTTTAATAGTTGTAGCTTGTGGTAAGTTTCAATTTGCCAGGAATCTTTAGGCATAGAAATTAAAGTGTTATCCTTGTAAGTTCAAAGAAAAAAATGTGTGTTTAGAGATTGTGGATCTGTTCTGAGCAGTAGTAATGGAAGATGATGTTGGAATGCCAATTGGAGACTGAGGGGTTAGAAATTCTATGGTTTCCATGGGGTGAATGCTGGAGAAAGGACATTGGGTCAAAAGTTCTTAATAGATGTAGA